ATTGAGAGCAAGATCCTGGGAGGGGAGACAAGTAGGCCAAAGCTGACCCAAACTGACCAAAGGGATATTCCATACCATATGACGTCAGCTCAGATATCAAAGCTCAGGCAAGGAGCAGGAAGGCAGCCATTCATTGTCTCCAATGGCTGCCTGCTGAGGAACTGTCACGTGTGCTGAAGCCCTGCTTCACACAGGCCAACCATCACTGCTGATGGGAAGTAGAGAATAAACAGTGCTATCTTTTGCTTGGCTTTTGCACAGGCAAACGTTTGCTTTGCTTCTGCTCTAATAAAGTGCCTTATCCCAACCCACAAGTTGTTTCCCACCTTACTCTATCTGGCTGGGAAGGGGAGTGATAGAGCGGCTGGGTGGACACCTGGCATCCAGCCAAGGTCAACCCACCACAGCCAGGTAGCATTAACAGTCATCCTGGGACAAATAATACAAAAGCTGATACAGGACTTTAATGATAAAGAATTCACATCTGTCCATATGGTTTTATGAAAAGTAAATTTTGTTATATGGGGGGGGGGCAGTAATTGAAAAAGACAGTTGATAAAGATGATAATTTAGATGTGCCTAAAATTATTTCAGTGGTTGGCTCTTAACTGTCACCTTAAGTGTCACATTGCTCTCATCAAAACATAAACATTATGCAGTATCACCAATACAAAGTTTAGGAACCGACCAAAAAGCTCAAAATAGTTTCCATTAGGAAGTCATTGTGGAATAGGAATGTTATTGGAGAAGTTAGTGACACTTGGTCTTGAATTAATGTTTTTATTCAGTGTGCAAAATATTTGGATCATAGCTACAGAATTCAGATGAGCTTAGCTTGTTTTCAACATCTGTCAATGTTCTAAAATACATACTACGCTGTGGGTGTTGTGTAAATGTGAGTGCGTCTTTTGGCTGAGGAGGAAGTCTGCAAACAAGGGACAGTAATTACTGACTCTGTATCATCTATACCTGTTAAAAGCAAACACAAAAACATATTGATTTTTGGTATGGGAAATAATGCCTTACAAGATGTTTTCAGGAACTTTAAATTTAGCTTTTTGTGTAATATTTTTCAGATAAGGTAGTGCAGATTAAAAGATAAATCAAAGAGGGTTGTAGTACTACTTAATATGGGAAGCATTTGGTTATTCTCTCTCTATAATCTTTGAATTTCTGTTTGGGTAATGTCATGGTTGGTCTCATTTTTAGGATGCAAATTGTTCCTATAATATCACAGAATCAAAGAATCACAGAATATGGTGAGTTGGAAGGGACTCACAAGGATTATTGAGTCCAACTCCTGCAGAGGACCCCTCCCAAAAGTCACACCATGTGCCTGAGAGTATTGTCCAAATGCTTCTTGAACTCTGTCAGGTTTGGTGTTGTCTGTCCCCTGGGAAGCCTGTTCCGGTGCCCAACCACCCTCTGGGTTGAAGAACCTCTTTCTAGCATCCAGCCTAAAGCTCCCTGACACAACTTCAGGCCACTCCCTTGGGTCCTGTCACTGATCACCACAGAGAAGAAATCAGTCCCTGCCTCTCCTCTTCCCCTCATGAGGAAGTTGTAGACTGCAATGAGGTCTCTTCTCAGTCTCCTCTTCTCCAGGCTGAACAGACCAAGTGAGCTCAGCCACTCCTCAAATGGCTTCCCCTCAAGGTCCTTCACCATCTTCATTGCCCTCCTTTGGAGGCTCTCTAACAGCTTAATATCTTTCTTATATTGTGGTGCCCAAAACTACACACAATATTCAAGGTGAGGCCGCACCAGTGCAGAGCAGAGCAGAACAATCCCCTCCCTCGACCGGCTGGAGATGCTTTGCCTGATGACCTCAGAACAGAGTTGGCCCTCCTGGCTGCCAGGGCACTGCTGACTCATGTTCAACTTGCCGTTAACCAGGACCCCCAGGTCCCTTTCTGTGGCACTGCTTTCCAGCATCTCATTCCCCAGCCTGTACAAACATCCAGGGTTGCCCCATCCCAGGTGCAGAATCCAGCACTTTCCCTTGTTGAACTTCAAATGGTTGGTGATTGCCCAGTCCTCTGGACTTGTTAGGGTCTCTCTGCAGGGCCTCCCTGCCTTTGAAGGAGTCAACAGCTCCTCCCAGTTTTGTGTCATTTGCAAACTTGCTTAGTATCCCTTCCAGTCCTGTGTCCAAGTCATTTATGAACATGTTGAAGAGCACAGTCCTGTGGAAGCCTCCACTAGTGTCAGGTCACCAGTCTGATGTTACTCCATTCTGTTACCCTTTATGCTTGGCCCGTGAGCAATTGCTCACCCACCATATGATTTGTTTATCCAGCTGTGTGCTGTCCAGAAGGATTCCTGTGAGAGACAGTATTGAAAGCTTTACTGAAATCCAAAAAGATTACATCAGCTGGCTTCCTCTGATCAACTAGATGGGTTACTGTGTCATGGAAGGAAATCAGGTTTGGTAAATAGGACTTTCCTCTCATGAAGCTGTGCTGGCTGTGACCAATAACAAAATTGTCTTTCAGGTGTTTTTCAACACCTCCCAGAATAATCTTCTCCATAACTTTACCAGGCACTGAACTGAGATTGACAAGCCTGTAGTTTCCAGGGTACTCCATGCCCTTCTTGAAAATTGGGACCGTGTTTGCCAGCTTCCAATCAGCTGGGACCTCTCTAGATTACCAAGACTGCTCAAAGATCATCAAGAGAGGTTTTGGGAGATCAGCCAGCTCTTCGAGTATTCTGAGATGAATCTCATCAGGCCCCACAGATTTGTATGGAGCAGCAGATCCCACACCATTTCAAGGTTGACTGGGAGTTGATCCTTCTCGCAGTCATGGTCCTCCAGCTCAGGGCACTGAGACCTCCTTGGTCCATTATTTGTGTTGAAGACAGAGGCAAAGAAAGCGTTAAACACCTCTGCCTTGTCTCTGTCCCTGTTTGTGAGGTGACCATCCTCATCCTGTAACGGGACAATGCTATTTCTATACTGCCTATTGGCGTTAATGTATTTGAAAAAACTCTTTGTATTGTCCCCCAAGTTTCTGGCCAGCTTCAACTCCAATTGAGCTTTGGCCACACATATTTTCTCCCTGTGGCAAGCAGCATCTTTGAATTATTACCATGTCTCTTGACCTTACTTCCACTGGGCATACACCTTCCTTTTTTGCCTTATCTCCAAGAGAAGATTCCTGTTCAGCCAAGCCGGCCTTCTGCCTCACCTGCTTCACTTCCAACACTTGGGAATTGTCTGCTCCTGTGCCCTTAGGAGGTGATGTTGAAAAAGTGACCAGCACTGATGGACCCCAGCACCTGCAGAAACATTTTCCCAGGGGACCTTACTCACTAATTCCCTGAGCAGCCTGAAGCCTGCTCTCCTCATGTCCAGCATTGAGGTTTTGCTGGTACTTTTCCTCCTGCCAACAGAGATTTTAAACTTGATCCTTTTGTGGTCGCTGTGGCCAAGAGGGCCACCAATCTCTGCTTTGCTCAGGAGATCCACTCTGCCGAGAAGCAGCAGATGAAGGAGGACATCCTTCCAAGTTGACTCCCTTAGGGCCGGTTCCATAAAGTTGTCATACCGATTTTTTAGGAATCTTCTGGCTGGGTTGAACCAACTGTATGATGCTGCCAGTTAATTTCTGTCAAGTTGAAGTCTCCCATAAGGACAAGGGCAGTTGACTTGGAAGTGTCCCTTAGTTCCTCAAAGAATAATTCATTGGCATAATTGTCCTGTCCAGGAGGTCTATAGCAGACTCCCACAATGACATTTACATTATTTGTTTGCCCCTCAATTCTTATCCAGGGGCTCTCAATGGTGCCATTGCCAACTGTGAGCTCCATACATTCTAACCTTTCTGTTACATACAGTGCCACTCCTCTGTCTCTTCTGCCCTACCTATCTCTCCTGAAGAACCTGTAACCATCCAACAGGTTTCACTTATGCCAATGATGTGAAATCTCTGGGACTGGGCCAAAGCTTTGAGATCCTCTTGTTCCTCATGCTGCGTGCATTGGTGTAGAAGCATTTCAGGAGTGGTACGTTGTAGCCAGCATCTCTTGAGGCAGACTCAGGGATCCCGTGAGTGCTGTTTCTTCAAGTTCTGGCACACCATCCCATTGCTCATCACTGGTGAGCCTGGTTTTGTCCCCTTCAGGGAGAAAGAAATAATGCAGAACTGTGAATGTATGTAAAAACTATTAATCACAGCTAAGACAAGGACAGAATATGGAAAAGCCTATACTGAATGAACAGAAAATATGAATATAATGAGAAAGGAGCTGTAAGATACTAATAAGGAGGCGTTACAAGATTTAAAAAAGAGCAGAGTCCTGTGATTAAAAAAAGCAAATACTGCAAAAGTCACTAACAGGCAACTGAGAATTAAAATCTTTAATAGTTGTAGTTTGTGCTGTAGAGACAGGGAAAAAAAAGTAATTTGGTTTCTAGCAATAGATTTAAGTTCTTAGTGAAAGATACAGAAAACCAGTAGAATAGAAACAAACTAGAGGTGAATTCTAGCACATTACATTTTGAAATAAGACAGTAATAGAAGAGCCATATTCTTTTTTGACACAAGTCCTCACCTAGTCATTATCTAGAAAACTGCAGTCTCTTGTGTCCAAGTGTTTGATAATGTCTTGAGATCAGGAGCCGAGTTAATAATTTTGAGGAACTGGTTTACAAAGGAAGGCTCCAAATGTCCTGAAGGGGGGAAAAAATGAATCATGGAATCAACCAGGTTGGAAAAGACCTCTGGTCAAAAACCACCATGTCAAGCAGAGCATGGCACTAAGTGCCACGTCCAGTTTTTCCTTAAACACCTCTAGGGACAGTGACTCCACCACCTCCCTAGGCATTAGATTCTAATGTATAATCACCCTTTCTGTGAAGAAATTCTTCCTAATATCCACCTAAACCTCCCCTGGCACAGCTGAAGACTATGTCCTCTTGCTAGGTGCCTGGGAAAAGAGGCCAACACCCACCTGGCTACAACCTCCTTTCAGGTAGTTGCAGAGAGTGATGAAGTCTCCCCTGAGCCTTCTCTTCTCCAGGCTAAACAACCCCAGCTCCCTCAGCCACTCCTCATAGGACAAGGAAATGTCCATTTCTTTGAAATTCTACTATAAGTCTGGCTTTCTGTAATCTTGCCTCCAACAAAATAAGACATTCAAGCCCACCAGATATTTGTATCCCCCGTAACAAACCGTGGCTGAGCTGGTCAGGAGCACCCCATTTGATAAAGAATCTCTCAATGTGTAGTACATGTTAACTCCTAATGTTATAGTTCAATCATTTGTCAGATGTTCTTAGGTTATGGTGTGGTTTAGTTAGGATTGGAGCAGGGAAGTAAGGCCCCTAGAAATAAACAGCCATAGGAATCTATGATGACCATACTGTCAAAGGGAAATAAGGTTTCAGACTGGCTGAACAAGTTTTACATCCTACTTAATGATCTGTTCAGTAGCTCCAGGGCTTGGCTCTCAGGTGGAACAGTGAGTGTTCTGACCTGGAATTTCCTATGCTTCAGCCAGCAGTCAGCCAAGAGCCCATCCATGCACTGGTGTGAGGAGACAAACAAGCTCATCCATTGTGCCCTGGGAGCAGGTTCCAGAAAGCGGCTGCTATTTGTGAAATACTCAATACAACTTGTAGAAATGCTGCCAAAATACCAGTACCAACTATGAAATTGCAACGTCTATGCATCCTTAGTTATGGACGTTCCTGCTAGCACATTACCCAGGACATAGGTACATACAATAGTACAGCCCTGCTTTATTGGGAATGCATATTCACATGTGGAGGTGATCTGGGTAGCCATTTTACTACAAAGGAAAGCATTTGGCTCTTTGTGATTGGATTACCACTACAGCTGTCTTCCAAATTCCCTGAGAAGTTAATTCTGCTTATCTGTTTTGATGCAACCTGAGTAACCTAATTTATTTCACACTGCTGGTTATAAACACAGCCACACATGCAGCTCTACAAATATTTATATCAAGAGCAAATTTCTCTAAACGAAATAAGAGGTCTATAATCTTCATAAACCAACAAAGATGAGTACAACACATCAGGTAAATCAAGGCCTCTACACCAAAGTTCTTCATCTGGATCTCTTCCATAGGAAATTTGTAATCCTCGTGGTTTATAGAACTGCCTGTAAAAGAATGAAGGAGTCACACTTCAGTTATCTTTGCAGGCAGTTGTGCTGGAGGACCTCAGAAGTACTTGGTCATATTGAGTCTTTTCTAGGCTGGGCTGAGTTACCTACAAATTACATTGGTCATGCCAGCGGTGTAGCTGCAGCAGTGTGAGCACACCAACATAGTGTGCTGGCCTCCATGCTACTTACGTGAGTATAGTGAGTGTAGCTATTTCTACAATTATTTTGTGTTTTATAGATATGACTGCAGTGCCTGCTACATAAAGGCCACCCCTAACACAAAGGAATTAACATCCATTCAGCTGATGGAAACTCTCCTGTAGTTTCTTCTCCTTAAGAAACTCTTCAGCAGCCTCAGGGCTCCTCTCTGGTGTTGCTTTGTGAATAGTAGATTGTCTGTAGGTTACTAGGTGTCTGGAAGTACCTCCATAATTTTCATACAAGCTGAAAAAGAGATAAAAGGGAAATTATTAAGATATAGTGAGGGTTTTGCCAAATAGATTAGAGAGCAGCAAAATAAACAGATTGCAGCACAATGCACATTTCTGACATTCTTGACGGGCATTTTTAAGTTAGACATCCTGCAGTCAGCATGAGATACTCAGGAAAAAACTTATCCCTAGAGCGCAGCTGAATCTACTGTCCACTGGAAGAGCTCTGGATCAAAGAACAGTGCCTAGAATCACAATTATTTTGTTTCAGCACATCTATGTCTTTATCTCTAAACTGAAATTCCTAAAAACAGACGTAAAGATTGCAGTAAATTATGATCAGAAGTGCAACATCTCTGAAGCTGACTGCGACCTCATGCTGTGCTAATTGTTAAGGTGGCAGAGATGGTCAGCATGGGTTTTTTCTATGTAAACAACTGTCAAGTAACATCTCCATCACTGTTCCTCTATTTTCTGCACTTCACAGAAAAAAAAATTATCATGAATGGGCTGCATTACACACCCTGCAGGAAAAAAATCACAGGTCCTGCCTGAACAGACATTAATTCTGTTATTTGTGTAAGGGAATGAAAGACGAATTCATTTTAAAGCACAGAGTAAGGTTTGTTTCCCAGGCCAGCCACATACCTCCTGTGTGAGCTGGAAAGTATGAAGGGCTTGGGAGCTGCTGATAAAATTTTGTGATTATCATGTCCCTGTTGGTCTGTTGTTATACCGCTAGCTGTAAGACAGCAATAAATTAATTCAAGCAGTGGACAGTTAGTTCTTTCTCACAAAAGATGTTACCAGGTTCATCTGATTCAATTACCAGTACCTGAAAGAGCAACACAAAAAAACCCCATTGCTCTGAGAATCTGTTTGGGCAGGATTCAAGCAGAAAAAATTGGAAAAACAGCTTTACTGACTGGTTACACAAGTCATGGAAGCATCTGAGCCTCTGGTTGAGAGATTTGTGTGTAGGCCCTGAAGTGATTGTACTGCAACTCAATATGGAATCACTGTTGAGTATCTAATAGATGTTATAGGTCTGCCATTTTCACAGAATCACAGAATCAGCTGGGTTGGAAAAGACCTCTGAGATCATCAAATCCAACCCTTGATCCAACCCCACCATGGTTCCCAGACCAATGCTGCTTAATATTTTTGTCAGTGACCTTAAAGAAAATGTACCATAATTACCGATAGATAGCAGCTGGGATTGCTTTTTAGCTGACCAAGTGAAATAAAATGTGTATTAACTATAAATATACAAATAAAATGGGTACTAACATGTAAATGTATGCTCACACCTATGCAGAAGGGAACAGAAGCTAAATTCATGAGGAGTTTATATTGGAAAACAAAGTATTTTTCAGTCTGCTGGTTGATCTAAATTTCTTGCACAGCCACATCCTAAAGGAACAAGGCCTTCACTTCTATTCCATAAAAAAAAAGAGAATAGGTACTAGAGGGAAGTTTATTACTTGTGCTTTTAACCCATTTTTGTCACAACAGAAATACTCTCATGTCCCACTTCTTGGGTCTGTAATTTAAGAAGGACCTACTGAAATGTTCACATAGTAAAGGGCTTTTTTGTGCTTACACAGACCAATACAACGCATAGTTTTTATAAAAGATTATAGGAAGTATTTCATATTAACCTGTCTCTCACTGTCTTTTAATTTGAAATTTAACTTTGCCTTTTGATATCAGTATCCATGTTCAATTTGAGACAAAATTTTCTCTATAGTGACTCTTAACTCTGCATTACAAAGAAAATCACCAGAGATGTCTGCAAACACCTTTACTTTCCTACACAATTGGTTTCTCATATTGTGAAGTTTGTTTATTACTGTCACTATTTACAGATTCATATCAATTACAAAAGTATACAGGAGTGTTACTAAAGTGAACTCAGAGGAAAAGCCACAACTCTTCCCATCAGGATGAAACCAATTCATTGCCACAGTGAATGAAATCTGATGGTTTTGCCTCTGTGTAACATGATGACTCACATACCAAACCTGCATCTGCATACATCTACCAGGATGGACTATAACTAGGACTAAACATCTGAAATTAATACAGCCAAGTGCTATCTCATGTTTAATCCAATTAAAAGGACTGATGCACATCATTTGGAATGAATATGAGGTAATTTAATGAATCACAATAGGTCTCATGAGCATTTTTGTTGCTAATTAGGGCCACAAAGCTACAGGATATTATTTCAATCACCCACTGCCCCTCACAAAATAACATACAATTTAATAACAAAGCAAACCACAATGCAATAATTGCAGTGCAATACGAAATTAGCTTAACAGCTAAGAGATGCATCTGAGACTCAGGCATGTGTAGAATTCCCAATTAAGTCAGCTTAACTAGTACTAGTAACTAGTACTCTTAACTTGCTAGTCAAAAATGTGCTCTCAGACACATCCACATACATTGTTCCACCTTCTGATTCAAAAGTGACTTGAATTGAAACCGAGATATTTAAAGTGTATCAAAAGACTGGCAAAAACTTCTGCTCAGCCTTAGGAGTGCATGCAACAGAATCTATTGTAATGAAATGCAACTGCAGAAGTCACATTCACAATCAAAACAGTGTCACTTAAAAGGATCCTGACCAGTTTAAACAGTTTAGCTGCACTGATTTAGCTTAACTAATAAATCTGCATTTACAAAAGGCATACATCAAAACAGTGAGAAAGAGGACTGTGTTGTTCAAGAGACTCACCTGAGATCCAGGCATGTGTATAGTTCCCAGTTCTTGTACACAGCAGATCTGAAAGAGTTTTCAATTCTGTAACCACGTGTAAGATTCATTTCCAAACCCAGGAGCAATCTTGCAGTATTTGGCTGGCAGTGTTGAGCAGACTGAGTGTCAAAGCTGGTAGTTGAAAAGATAGGTATGATCAACGTAAATGATAAAAAGTATGCAAGTAGGCAGACAAGTAGATTCAGGGAGTACCAATGTGCCCATGGCTCACTATAAATAGGTGGAAAAATCCAAACATCAAAAAGGAAGTAAATCGTTAAAGCTTACCTATGATGCATATGGATTTTTTGATTTTTAGCTTTTTGTAGATTTTAGAAGTAGTTGTATTATATCCCTTACCCTTAGCACAGTAGTTTACACATTTATCCAACACTGTTACCCCATTCCATATCACTCCCTCAAAATTCCATTAGCTTGTTTAGACTTCCCTCAAGGTAGGCCTTTATTCTTTCTAAAAACATCTGCACCCTGGCTTGAACGACAAGATACCACTCAGGCATAGTGACCTTCAAGCCCAGAACTTTGGAGGAACTCCAAGGACTAAATGTGCTGTGATGAAGAGGAGGATGTTGAAGAGGGGGTCCCAGAGCCCCCTGCCTCAATTTCCAGAGGGGTGTGCCAGGGGGAGGTGCTGGTAGGCAGACAAATCTGGGATTGGATGGAATAATAAATTGTGAAACCCCGTGGACATGAGGGGGGCATCGTGTATTCCTGTGGGCTTCAGGTCAGAAATTAAAGGACCTACCCTCCTTATCTTATCTTATACACTAAGTTGGCTTGAAGTCCTGTTTTCTGTGGTCTCTTAAGGCAACAGTTAAGAAATACATGGGCATACTCAATAATTAATTAACTCATTCTCCTAGCTAATCATCCGTGTTTCTTATTAAGGTTATTTGGACTGGTCCTTGAATTGCCACAAGGACTGAAGACCAGAACAGATACACTAAGACAGAAAAATCATTAGTAAAATGCTTATTGGTTAAGCATATAAATAGTTCTACTGAAGACAACAGTCTTGTTCAGTCATAGGTTTGCTTTTACTGAACAGAGGGATGAAATCCTAATTCCTTGTCTGAAGGCAAAGTTTGACCAACTTATTCAATTGTACCAGTATTACATGCAGTTTTAAAAACTCACACCCATTTATCCAGTTCTGTCAAGCTAACAGCCAGTAAAATGAAAATGTAAAAATAAAAATTTTAAAATAATAAATTACTTAGAAAACAATCCTGCACTTTTTACCTCGCAAAGCATCCCTAAAGATTTACGAGTACAGGTAGAGTGTTCAGTGCTATGCCAGTGGGAACTTAATATGATTTGCAACAGATCTCGCAGCAAATGAACCCAACATAGAAGTAGGGATGCTTGAATTTATGAAAAGTTCTTCTCACTTTTTCAATACAAGACAAAAAAAAAATCTTAGAACATTCACTGAATAAGAATGAGGAATTTCAGGAAAGTCTGAAGAAAAGCTGTTATTTAAAAATAGAAAATTTAAAAATAGTACCGCAGTAAAAAATTATTCTTCTTTGGATTCTTCTTTTTTTTTTTCAAGATTCCCAAGTTTCAAAACCACAGCATGTCAAAACTCAAGGATGTCTTCCACCTTCCTGTGTTTATGAACAGGGAACAGAACCATGGTGCCTTACAGGTAGGCAAACAACACAGTACATGATTTACAGCAAACAAAACTTGGGAAAATTATTATTGTAGAGACTAGAACCTTTGTGAAATATTAACTGTTACGATGACGAATGGTGTCCCCCAGAAGGAAGCTCCCAGGCAGCCATCAGGCCTAAGCTCCCTGCATTACTACAAGCAACAGATATTGAAGAGCTCATGCTCATTATTCAAGAGCTTGCTTTAGAAATGAGTTAAAAATTGCTGTTTGTAATGCTTTTAGATTTCAGAGAGACACTGCTGGTGATACAGAAAGTAGCTGGGACCCAGCTGTTCCACATCCCCTTGTTCTTGCCCTGTGTTTATCTAAAAAGTTCTCAATGAAGGATTCACTCTGGCTTTGCCCAGAGGAAAACACAGAGAGCTGCATACACACACGGGTTGCAAAGGTCACAAAGCTTCACTCCTGCTGAAGAATCAAAGAATGCATCAGGTTGGAATGGACCACAGTGGGTCATCTGGTCCAACCTCCCTGCTCAAGCAGGGTCATCCTAGAGCACATGGCACAGGATTGTGTCCAGACGATTCTTGAGTGTGTCCAGACGATTCTTGAGTATCTCCAGTGAGGGAGACTCCACAACCACTCTGGGCAATGTGTTCTAGTGCTCGCACCGGAAAGAAACCAAGAAACTTCAGGATTCAAAAGGAAAACATAACAGTCTGTCTCGCTTTTTAGTTTTTTTTTTTTTTTTAAATCAAATTCAGCGCTGACTTCCCTTGAGAGCCGGACTTGGGCAAAGGGGACCGACCTCTCCTGCCGCTTGGTGGGGTTGGCGGCTGCTGCTGAGGCGCAAGCAGCTCCGCCACCCCCTTCCCCAGTGTCCCTCGGCCATGGACGCGATTTGTCCCATCGCCACGGCAGCTCCCCACACCGGCAGCTCTGCCTCGGCCCGGTCCCAGCGCCGCTGCTGCCCCTCCATGGGCCCAGTGACGCTGCGGAAACGGGCCGCGCTCCCCGCCCCGGGCCCTGCAGCCCAGACCCGAGCACCACCTCCTCCCTCCACCCTCCCTGCCCGCAGCCGCCGCTCTCCCCGCCCCCGGCCGTGTGTGCGGAAGCTGCCGGCGCCCGGGATTGTGGGAGCGGGGGGGCCACGGCGCGGGGAGGGGACGCGGCCGGGGCCGGGCCGGAGGGTTCCGGTGCGGGGCGCAGACGTGTCGGCCGGGGCCGCGCAGCGACAGGCGCTGCTGCCCCTGGCCCTCTCGGAACAGCGCCCGGCCCGGGGCCGGCCCGGCGGCACCATGGCCGGGACCAGCAGCCCCGAAGCCGTGAAGAAGCTGCTGGAAAACATGCAGGGAGACCTGCGGGGCCTGAGCCTGGAGTGTCGGAAAAAATTCCCCCCCGTCAAGGAGGTGAGTGGCTCTGAACCGGGCCGAGCCGAGCCGGACCGGGCTGGGCTGAGCCGGGCGGCGGGCGCCTCTCCGGAGGGGCCTCCCTGGCCGCGGGGCCCGGCCCGAACGGAGCTGCCGCCGTGCCCGTGTGCCGCTCCCCGGAACGGTGCCGCTCCCGGGAAGCTCCGACCGCCGCAGCCGCCGGCTGCTCCCGGACTCGGCTGCTCCCGGACTCGGCTGCTCCCGGACTCGGCTGCTCCCGGACTCGGCTGCTCCCGGACTCGGCTGCTCCCGGACTCGGCTGCTCCCGGACTCGGCTGCGCCCGTCGCGCTCTCTGTGGTGTTGTTGTCAGTGCGCTGCCGCGGCGCGGGCCGTGGGCCGGGCCGTGCCCCGCGGGGAGCGGGGCTGGCGCACAGACCGTCTGTTGACAAGGGCGAAGCGGGGGCGGCACCGCTGCACCCCTGGCGATCTCCGGGGTAAAGACTAAGTTCGGCTTGGCTGTCTCGGCACCACCGAGCGAGCGAAACTCGCCCGAGGCGGGCTCGGTACCGGGGCTTGGGCGCCCGGGCGGGCGGACACCGAGCAAGCGGGAGCCCGACAGGCCGAGGAGGACTGTGCTCAGCCCCGGCGCTGCGGCTGCGGGGGGGTCCGGGGCCGTGCAGGTCTCCCCTCGGGTCTGTGCCGTGCCCTTGCGACGAGCGCACACGCTGCTGTTGCTCCCGGGTCGGCGCGCCTTGTTCCTCACCATTGCACATCCGCGTCTGCCCGTGTGAACTGTGCGGATCGCTGGTGGTCGCTGCGTGCCCCGTCGTTTTGGGATTGTCGTTTGGGTTCCAGCGCTGTGGGTTGTATCAGTTCCAGCTGATACAACAGAGGAAGCTTGGGAGATACAGAAGTTTGGATTACTTTTTTTTTTCCTTCTACAAAATCCCATTAATAAACTCATGAGTAAGGTTGTATGTTTTATTTTTCAAACCTCCGTTTATGCTGTGCAGACAGGGACCTCAGTAATCTCGATGAGCCGGATTGCTTTAATTGAAGCACAGTCAGATTTTTTTTCGCTAACTGAAGTATACATTTTAACCGTATGTTTCTCTATTATATTTGTACGGTCAGTTTAACATTTTCCCTAATGGTAGTTTTCTATGCAGTAGTGGGAGGAAAAATACTAATACATTAACTCAGATTAAACTGCAGACCCAGAAGCTCAGAAGAAAGAAATTGCATATGGAATATGACTTGAGTTCCAATTCAGTAATAGCATATTTAGTGTTGTATGTAGTATTATACCCTTTAACAGATGACTTGAAGCTAATGACTGTTCTTGTTTTGAAAGGCATGAAGTGACACACTGTAATAGAGCATATTATGTATGACTGTAGATTGCAGAGGAACGCTGGTCTGTTTGAGAAATTCTGTGTGGTCACAGAAAAACAGGAGAAAGTTGTGATCAGTACTGAGGAACTGTGTGTAGTCACATGTAAATAAGAAAAAGTTGTGGTCAGTTGAACAGAAATCTGCCTGTGTGTTTTGGAGGGACATGGGAGTGCCGCTTCCACTTTCTTCTGTGTATTGCTGTGTGACTCTTAAGTTGTTTAGTGAACAAGTTTCCCCACTGGGTTAATGTTTACTTTCTTTTAAGATCTGCAAAGGAGATGGGCAGTGTCACCCTTAAGCTAGTATTTTTAGTAATGCTTCGTTACATTTGCCATGCTGACCATTTAGTAACTACCGCATGTGCAGTTCTTGATACTTGTTCAGCACATTTATCATATTCTTGTGTAAGTTTGACTTTTGTGTTATTCCGTTTTATATCTTGATGGCAATTTGCTTAGCTTTCTTCATTAAAAACAAAGTTTTTTCACAGTTGTCTGGAATTTGGATAGGTTTATGGAATAGTACTGGACCGTGTTAACAAAAGAGGTGGGACTTTCTGCTAAGTTGTGAGTTCCTACAGTAGGATGTATGATACAGTCATAGGAAATGATCTTACTTCCTCACTTCTGGAAGCCATTTTTTTGTTCTAGTTTTAAAGGAAATGGGTGTTCTTTTTTGTCAAATCTAAACTGCTAAACAGATATTTTAATTGCATACATTTGATCTGATCATGATTAGATTTGGCTAGAGTGATCAGAGGAATTCTTATTGATTTGGAACAGCACCGGTTTTTAAACTATGTTTAAACATAGGCTTTTTAAAACAAATTCCTACTACTTACAATCTTACTTTTTTACTTGCAATGTAACTAGACTCCTCATTGCTACCACATGCGTTGTAATTTATGAGTTTATCTTGCAGCTGATGTCTGTGCTTTCAGGTCACTTAATAAATTCAAAATACTGTGATAAAGCTATTGAAAAACTTATAGTCCAAAATTAATAGTTATTAGATGTATCATAGTTGTTAGATTTGATAGGTACTTTAAGAAGGTAAACTGCTTCTAATAATCTTTCCAGTGTGTGACATAGTTGAAAACTTTGCTCACAGTTATTTGTAATCATCAACCACTTCTAAAATGATTTGTCTGTTCTGGTTCTTTTTTGTTTTGTTTTTATATTAATAGTGTCAAAATTCTACAAACTGATAGGTTTTCAGCTCATAAAAGTAATAATGTAGTTCTCAATTCTGCTTGTTGCTCAGATAATTAACTTGAGCAAGTCCTTTTTTAATTAATACTGTAGGATTTTAGACAGTTGTATGATCAAAAAAATAGATTTCATGTTATTAAAAGAGTTTTAGTTTTCAAACCAAGTTTCAAACTAATTTAGTTTTTAAAACATCTTTCTAATGTATATGTAAACAATATCTATTAGATACAGGGAAACCAGAACAATACTGAACGATTCTTTGAACAGACATGTAGATGACACAGCTAAAGAACTTTATGGGACTTTTTTTGGCGGAGGAGGGTGAGAGTGGGGCTTGGATGCAGCAGAGAAGGGGACAGCCAACTGTGAAATCTACATCTCATTCTCAGTTAGGAGCTTGAACTCTTCACTGTTTTAAGCAATTTCATCTCATATTTTTCTATTACTTCTGAGTCTGTAAAGTTTTCTAAGCGGGTTACATTTATGTGGGTATCATATAGTTCTAAGTCCAGTTACTTACAACAGTGGAGTCTGACTTTTCTGACTTTGATAGTCTGTTAAGAGACGTTGAAATTGCTGAGTTTCAGTGTTAAACTTCTGACAGAAAATTATGTGGCAAACTTCCTTCCCCTTAGAGCTTTTAACTAAGAAATAACAGGATGTATTGTTGGCTCCAAAGCATCCATACCTCATTTTTGCTCTGTGTGACAAATAATACCTGAGTAGGATTTTCCTTGGTTATGCCACTTAATGCTCTAAGAATGGGAGCTGCAGAAAGAATCTGTAGGCTTGAAATTATGTTGCTGACGATGTTTAGGGATTAACTAGCGCAACAGACTTATTTTTCTTAAGGGTATGGGGAATACCAGTTACTATTGCACTTCAGACACATCCGTTTGTTACTAGGTGGTTTTTCTTTTTGATACTTCCTCAGATCAGCACCTATTACAGAAGTATAGTAGGCATGAAAGATATACACTATGACCAAGAGGTAATTTGATGGTTGTGTCTGTGATATGCCAAGCCTGTTTACACTGGCAGACATACAAATAACCACATTGCTGAAAAATGTGTTTGTATTTTCACAATGTATTTTTGTTGCTCAGTTAGAAAAATAGAGACTGTGGATGGGATAGAAGCTCTCAGGGCAAGTGTAAATTAAACAGTATCTTTTGGAGCTTGAAATTACAGAGGATGAAACAGTCTTTGGTACAGGCATCAGTTGTGTTCATGTTATTTTAAGTAATCTGGCATTTCTCCTAGAAAACAATACTACTTGGTCATTATTTTGTTGTTTTTAATACAGTGGGTTCTCAGATTTGCTTTGTACTATAAAGTATTGTAGTGCTGCTAATGCTGCCCCAAATTGCATACAGCCTGAAAAGAGCTTTATAAAGTATTTTAACCTGCTAGTGTTTGGAGTTTTGATCTCCTGTGCTGTGCTTGTGGGAAGCTGATGGTGCTCTCTTAAGTGAACTGGTCTAAGAATTTTGTCTTATCACAAAATTGAAAATAGTTTAGTGTGCTAAATAGGTTGCCTGCTGTTTCTTATTACAGAATGGGAATATTGTTCGGTAAGCTACATCTGACTGCATAAAAAAACCAGATAATTTGACTGCATAAAAAACCCTTAGAAATACTAGGGGAAAATATTTATAATTAATAGAAATAATAGAGTTAAAAGGGAAATAAGTACCTCCTGAAAGTTCCTTGCAGCATGAATTCCAATTGTATGTAACTGTTGTTTACACAGATCCAGTCAAGCTGTCTCAGCTTTCTAGTAGGCTTGTAGTCTTTATGTTGACTCAGGTTTTTTCTTGACTTTTAAATAGCAGTAAAAGCAGAATGAGTTTAAAAAAATACACAAAAAAATTAACTCTTACACAGTTACAGGTGAACTTGTGCTGGTAGGAGAGGAGAAGGGAAAGGGCAGGTGGGATTGGAGCAGGCAAGGACCACATCCTCCCTTGGCAGGATCATCTTGGCCTGGGACAGGGCATGCCCTCTGCTTGGCAGTTGTGTCATTGATTACAGATGCCTGTATATTTTAGGATGTTTGTTGCTGT